GCCAGTCTCTTAGATTTCTACTGTCTGCTGTAGGATGACTTCACCCCAGCCCCAGCGAAGGAGAGCCATGTGCTGTCAGTGCTTGGGTGCGAGAACTAGGGAAAGGGAGCCCTGTTGTGCTGCAGGCAGCGGGGCTGGTGGTAGGTGGCCACCCCGAGTCAGTACTGGAGCAGAGCTCTAGAGGGTGTCGTGCCGCAGGCAGTGGGGCTGGTACTGCAGGAGCAGAGCTGTAGGGGGCGCTGTGCCGCAGGAAGTGGGGCTGGTGGTAGGTGGCCACCCCGAGTCAGTACTGGAGCAGAGCTCTAGAGGGCGCCATGCCGCAGGCAGTGGGGCTGGTACTGCAGGAGCAGAGCTGTAGGGGGCGCTGTGCCGCAGGAAGTGGGGCTGGTGGTAGGTGGCCACCCCGAGTCAGTACTGGAGCAGAGCTCTAGAGGGCGCCATGCCGCAGGCAGTGGGGCTGGTACTGCAGGATCAGAGCTGTATGGGGTGCCGTGCCACAGGCAGTGGGGCTGGTACTGCAGGAGCAGAGCTGTAGGGGGCACTGTGCTGCAGGCAGTGGGGCTGGTACTGCAGGAGTAGAGCTGTATGGGGTGCCGTGCTGCAGCCAGTGGGGCTGGTACTGCAGGAGCAGAGCTGTAGGGGGCGCCGTGCCGCAGGCAGTGGGGCTGGTACTGCAGGAGTAGAGCTGTATGGGGTGCCGTGCTGCAGCCAGTGGGGCTGGTACTGCAGGAGCAGAGCTGTATGGGGCACCGTGCCGCAGGCAGTGGGGCTGGTACTGCAGGAGCAGAGCTGTAGGGGGCGCCGTGCTGCAGGCAGTGGGGCTGGTACTGCAGGAGCAGAGCTGTAGGGGGTGCCGTGCTGCAGGACGTGTTGTTTTAAGGCAGTGGTCAGCAACCAGTCGATCGGGATCTACGGTAGATCTTAGAGCCACTGACAGGTGATCCTGACTGGTTTGGCCAAGAGGCTGTCAAGTGCCTCATCTTGCACTCCAAATCCCTTAACCAAGACCAGAACCTTCAACCCAACCCACTCCCCCTGCCTGGTGAAAGTAAGGGGGGAGGGATGGAGGATGGAGTGAGCAGGGGCAGGGCCTCAGAGAAGGGGCATAAAGGAAGCAGGACAAGGGGATTTGGGTTTCGGGTAGATCTTGGATTGCACTTAAGTTAAAAAGGTGATCTTGTGCTTAAAAAGGTTGGAGACCACTGTTTTAAGGACACAACTTTTCCTGAGCTTTTCCCTCTTTAACAAGGGTGTCCTGGCTCCACTCCAGCTCGGGTAGTAGTTCCAGTTAGCTCCCCATATGCAGCCACTGTTAAACTGTTACTTTCCCCCCGCTTGGCTGCCTACAGTGCTGAGTGTGGATCTTGCCTGTTCCTTTTCGTACTCGCTGCTGGCTGGGCATGCTAAGAACGTGGTCCCCGAGCCCCACGTCACCTGATGCTTTGTTCCTTGTTCCTAGCTTCCTTCCGGTGGCCTCACGCTCGAAAAGCACGTTGTGTAACTCTTGGCTCCTTCTCCCTCCTGCACTTTGACCCCCTGCCGGTTCCTCTGTTTAGCCTGAAAACACCTCTGTGTCCGTAGAGCACCACACGTCTTGGAACCTCTCTGGTCCAGCAACATCCCCGCCCAGCAGGATCACAGATGTTGCTAGACCAGAGGGCCCCAGTGGCTAGGAGCAGGAGCCAGGAGCAGAACCAGTCCAGGGGCAGGGAGCCCGGTGCCTGGGGTCAGCGGCCGTAAGGGGAACTCAGAGGCTGGCAGTAGAGGGGCCAGAATTGACTGTCCCAGGTCTGGCAAACTCTGTCCAGGACAGGTCAGGTCCTGAGGGTGCCAGACCAGGGAAGACCAACCTGTACTAGGAAGTCACTACCATGCTGAGGTTTTTTTCTGGTCCCTAGCACCCCCAGTCTCATATTTATTCTCATGATGCCCCGGGGGCAGCGCAGCGCTGTTGTCCTATTTTACAGTTGGCAGTAAGATGCTGAGATAAGTGACTTGACCGTGTATCCCAGCTCCTAGGTTAGTGCTGTAGCCGCTGGGCTCTCCTTCCTCTGCGCCGAGATGGTGTGGGGCAGAACCCTAAACCTCTGACTGCCAGCGGCTGGGAGGGGGAAGCAGGCGCATCGCTTCAACTGTGCTGATTTGTTTCCCCCCCCCAAGCACCTGACGTTGGCCACTGTTGGCAGATAGGATACTGGGCTGGATGGAGCGGTGAAGTGACTTGGGAAATCTTCATGGGGAAACCCCAAAGTGTTTGTCTTTTTGATGGAATCCCAATATTTGTTGGGAGGGGGGGAGAACATAGGAATGTCAGAGTGGCCATGCGGCAGATCAGCGGCCCATCTAGCCCAGGACCTTGTTCTCCAGCAGTAGCTGGTGCCAAATAAACACAAGCAGGGCACTTATCGAATTACTCATCTCGTGTCGCCCAGTCGACGGAGGTTTGGGGACATCGGAGCATGGGGCTGCATGGCTGGCCACCTCGGCTCCTAGCCATTGCTGGACTGTTCCTCCAGAGCTGCTCGAATTCTTTATTGAACCTAGTTACATTTTTAGCTTTCACAACATCAAGCTCCATGAATTGACTGCTTTATGCAAAAGTACTTCCTTGTGTTTATTTAAACCACCGGCCTATTGGTTTCTTTGGGTGACCCCCGTTCTTATGTTACGCCAAGGGGCAATTAGCATTTCCTTATTCATTTTCTCAACACCGTCGTGTTTCTATAGCCCGTAGGCGTCTCTTTTCTAAGGTGACTTTTTAATCTCTCCTCCTATAGAACCTGCTCCAACCCCCTAATCACATCGCTGCACCTTTCACAGACCTAATGTATCTCTTTTTGAGGAGGTGACCAGAACAGCGTGTAGTATTCAAGGTGTGACCATACCATGGATGTATATAGCGGCATTATGATAGATATGGTCTTGTCTGTCCCTTTTCCCTAATGGCTCTTATCACTGTGTTAGCTGTATGTTGAGCAGACGTTTCCAAAGAACTTATGATGCTTCCAAGCCCTCTTGCATAATAACAGTTAATTTAGACCCCATAATTTTGTATGTATGGTTGGGATTTTTTTCCCAGTGTCCTGTTCTTTGCCTTTATCAGCGTTTCATTTCATCTGCCTTTTTGTTGCCCAGTCATGCAGGTTGGCGAGATCCCTTTGTAACTTTGTGGCCTGCTTTGGACTTGACTGTTCTCTTGGGTAACTTCGGATTGTCTGAAAATTTTGCTGCCGCACTGTTTACCCCTTTTCCTAAATCATTTATGGATGTGTTAAACACCAGGTCCTTGTAGAGATCCTTGGGGGAGTCAGCAGTTTTCCTCTCTCCGCTGTGAAAACTGACCATTTATTCCTACTCTTTGTTTCCTGTCGTCTTAACTCGTTGGTCCATGAAAGGCCCTTCCATCTTAAGCCTCTGGTGAGGGACCTTGTAAGATTTTTCTGAAAGTCCAAGTATACTATATCAGCCAGGTCACCCTTGTCCACATGTGTGTTGACCCCTCAAAGACTTCTAGTAGATTGGTGAGGCATGATGTCCCTTTACAAAAGCCTTGTTGATTCTTCCTCAGCTGTTCTTTACTGTAGTTTCAACCAATTTGCGTGAAAATGACAAAATTTGTCCTGAAAATGGCTCCCTGGCCTGCAATTGCCAGGATTGCTTTTGGAGCCTTCTTAAAAAACTAGTATTACACTAACTCCTCTTCAGGCACCTGATACAGAGGCTGATGTAAGCAATAGGTTCCACACCACAGAGAGGGGCTCTGCCATTTCATACTTGCGTTCCTTCAGACCTCTGGTCCTGATGACTTTACTGTTCAGTTTATACATTTGTTCTGAAACCTCATCTATAGACTTCTTAGTCTTGGACAGCTCAGATTAGTCACCTAAAACAAATGGTTCCGGTGTGGGAATCTGCCTCACATCTGTAGCCATGAAGACTGATGTAAAAAATCCATCTAACATCTCTTCAGTGGCCTTGTCTTCCTTTAGCATTTCAATTCTCCAGTGATCATTTGGCCCATTTCCTGCTTCTGATG